CTCCACAGCATTTATCGAATAGTTTATTTTTACCTAAAAGAGAGGGATATATTTATGCTCTTTATTTGGTTGTACTATCTTTTCTTGTCTCTATGTGAATCCCACTGTTTCATGAACTACACACACTGCTTCAATTTCTATAGTTCAATAGGTCTTGGTATCTCAAAGATAAGTGTCCCTTAACCTCCCTCCTTTTTTTTCTTCAAAATTTTATTGTCCTTTTTTTGTTACTCTTTAATCTTGCATTTGAGTTTTAGGGTTGGTTTCTTAATTTTCACTGCAAATGTATGAACTTTGATTCAAATGGATGATATTTCTTAGAGTGGGTACAATTGACATCTTTATAGTTATTGAGTCTCCCGTCTCAAATATGGTACATTTTCCTTTGTCTAGGTCTTACTTTATGTCCATCCATAATGTTATGGTAGATTCTCTCTAAAGCTCTTGCACATCTCTGTTTCAGTTATTCTTGGATACATTAAAGTTTTTGCTATTATTGTAATGAAGTAAGTTTTCCAATTATGTTTTCTTGTTGGTAACTGCTGTGGATAGTAATGCTGGTAACATGTATTTAAATGTTGTTTGATCTTCATTCCAGTCAGCTGGCCTAACTCTCTTATTGTAGTCTTATATGTATGGAGATGCTGTTAGATTTTCTTTCTAGGCAGACTTACCATGTGAAAATAAGGAAAGTTTAGTTCCTTTTTTATTTTTCTCTTATTTTTCCCCACTTTTATTTGTCTCATTGAAATATCATACCTCTGGTAAAATGTTGAATATTCATATTTTCATGGAAGTGCCTCTATCACAATTAATTATTTTTCAGGCATATGATTTAAAAACAATTTTATAATTATGTATTCCTATCGATATACAGTTTTTAAAAAATTTTTCTCCTTTGACCAGCATTTGTCAAAGAGAAAATATGTTCTATATTCACTTATTACACGATGAATGGTTATTATGCATGTACCTATCTATTATTTCTATGATTTCATTTTTTACTTCTAAGTCCTTAATTCATCTGAAACTTATTTTGATAAAAAGTATAAGGAAATGTTTTTACAATATTAATTATTTTTTCAAAGAGATATTTTTCTATTATTCATTAGAAAACATGTTATTTATCCACTAATTTGAAACATTAATTTCACCAAATGCTTAATTTTTTATACTGAAGTTAATATCTGGAAAATGCAGGATTGAGTTAGGGTGGGCACTTCTTTATTCTTTAATTATGTTTAAGAATCTCCTTTATACTACTTCCAAACAATTGTTATCACCTTTCTTTCACATATATCCAAGCTAATATATCCATTCACATAAGATTTTAAACTGAGTTGAGGACAAAAATAATGGACTAATTATGACTGCAGAGTTGTATACTTGGTAGGCACATAATAGATGCTCAATAAAAAGAAGCCATACTGAATGGAATGAACTTTAGTTATAATCTTAAACTATAAAATGAAATACTTATTATTTTGTTTTAACAAATTCTGTAGTACTCCTTTTAAGGTGTGTCATCTACATTAAAGCTATGTCTTTGATATAGCTTATTAAAAAGAGCTTTAGCCTATATATTATTTGTCTGGATTCAGTATTTACAAGAATAAATAAATAAGCCAGACTAATTTGTAAGTGAAACCATCATTTCCAAGTTTGATCCCAATTCAAAACAGAATTTAAAGCTGCTTATTCTGTATTCTAATCAATAAGCACATTCACTAAGAGAATGTAAGAATATGTCTTGATCTTCAGACACTTCCATCTTAGTTGGGTGATTATTTTTAGGATCCTCCTTTAGTCCTTCTAAGAGTTATCAGAAGATAATAGTTGCAGGAATAGCTTGAACAAAAAGTGGAAATTGATTTGAATCTTGAAGGAGGGAAGCTCTTAATTAAGAGGGTTGGTTTTGGGGAAAGACAAGCAACTTCACAGAGAAGGTAAGTATTGGCTTTTTCAAGCCATAATAAGTCCCACACTGTGTCTGGATCTGGTGATTTTTAATTTTTTAAAATTATTTACTTATTTCTTATTTTAAATTTATTTCTTTCCCAATTAGTGCCAGAAATTATTCAAGGCAGCTTACACACTATATATATTCAGTGCAACATACTGTTTTTAAGTTAGTAAAGTGTGAAAAAGGAAAAACAAATTTAGAATTCCAAGTCATCATGGAGAAATGTAATATATCAAAATTCAGGTCATTAAGATCTTACATCATTATTAAAGCTGAATTGTACCTATAATTCTAATATTCTCAGTGGCCAAAGCAAATAGGGAAATTAATGAATTATAGGATTCATATTGCCCATAAGGTAAAAGGTATTTAGGAAGTGAAAAAATTTTCAGAGTACTAGTTCTCATACATAAGATACTAAGCAATACACTGGGCTTTATCCTCAATAGCATCCCAATAATAGATGTGATAATGAATATCTTATGAGTCCATGTAGGTGGAAGGCATAATTTAAAAGCCAAATTCAGTGAAATTGATCTGAACTGGGGCATGCTAAACATTAGAATTCAAGTATACAAAGTCAGTGATATTCTTCCTTAATGCTAGGATAAAATCTTGGCTCTTTATCAGACATTGTTAAATAAAATCCTGGTGGTTGTTCAAAAGGAGCTTTGGGGATGTATGACCAGCTGGAAAACATATATCCTAGTAAAAGCTTTATAAGTTACACAAACACAGTAAACACCCAACTAAATGCTTCTTTTATGAATAGAATTTGGCTAGTAAGGCTGACAATTTGCAACCACCCATAGATGGATCAGTTGACAAATTCCATGTGCAAAGGGACTCTGTCTGCTGTCTTTTTCACTGTTGTATCACCAGCTTTTAGCATAGTGTCTGACAGTTGATGTTCAATACATACTTGAGGAATAAATGAGTGAACAAATGAATGCAGTAAATGTCCACAGATCTAATTTTCTACAGCCTGGCTTTTGCAAAGAGCTGTGCAGTATAGAGAGGTTCTTTGCTTCAGTGAGAACCTGAATCACAAATATTCTCTTTACCCATTAAAGAGGATCCATATAAATTAAAGAGGTCGACTTCACATACTTTTAAGAAAATTAAGAAAACAGATTAAGAGCTAACATTGTCCCCAGAAGAAATAGCCTCATTGTTTAGGGTTGGTAGGAGGCTCAAATGAGAAAATAAAATTAATTTATATGAATAGTGTCAAGATCTGCATTTTTATAAATGTTTGTACAGTTCATTAGCACCTTCTGAAAGTTTCCAAGCCCTGAGCTCCCCAATTATTTGATGCCCCCATTATACTTTAGAAACCTTGCACTAGTCTATGACCTCTCCATGCTGCAGTTCCCTTTGCTTGGGGTTGTCATAATAACCCTTCTTTCTTCTCATTTTCCCTGTCTGTTTCCTCCTTTGGGGTCTATATTTCAAAACATAGGGTAGTTAGGTTCATAAATTCTGGGTTGAAACACAGATTCCACCATTTATTAGCTGTTTGATATTAAACTAGTTACGTTACCCTAATTCATTCCTAGCATCATTATCTATAAAATGAGAATAATATATATCACATTTATATTATTATAAAGTTAAAAGAGATAATAGGTAATGTATACACAATAACCAGTAAATAGTCAGCAAATGACAAATGTTAATTGTTCTTATGCTTATTCTACCAGAACATTCTGTCTAAAAGCCTAAATCTGACCTTGACCATTCCTACTTAAAACCTCCAGTGATTTCCAGAAGCTCATATCTGCATAGTACTGTGTGTAATTTTATTTATAGTCTGGCTTCAGTTTCCCTTTACACCTTCATCACCCACCATCCCTACCTCCTTGGTTTATATCAGTGGTTCCCAAACTTATTTGGCCTACCGCCCCCTTTCCAGAAAAAATATTACTCAGCCCCTGGAAATTAATTTTTTTTAAATTTTAATAGCAGTTACTCATCGCCCCCAAATGCACCTGTGGCCATCACCGCCCCCCTGGATCGCTGCAGCGCCTACCAGGGGGCGGTAGCACCCACTTTGGGAATCACTGGTTTATATTCTGCTCAGTCTTCTCAGGGTGTAGCTATTCAAGCAGACCAGTCTTTTAAGTCTCTAGGATTTGGCACATGCCGTTCCCTCCTTCTGGAATACCCCTCTCTCCCTGCTCTGGCAAAAAAGATTTCTCCTCTGAAACCATATCCTACTTCTCCCTGGTATAATTAACAGCCTTCCTGTCACCATAACACTGTCTAGAGATCTATATTTAATATGCCTATATTTTTACCCCTCTGTCTGATTTGTGAATTTCTCTAGGACAGGAATCCTCTTTAATGAACCAACCCCTAGCCCAGGGCTTCCCTCCTAACTTGTGCCCAGTGACATTTATCAAATTGCATTGTTTGAATTTAATTGAATTCACACAACTGTTGCTCCTACAGAACCCCAATCTACTTGCAAACAGAGGTTAGACCCTCTGGGTGTTTCAGAGCCCCTTCTGGGTTACTACATACCAGCTAACATACTGGCGATTTATGAAAGAGATTTTCCTCACTAGAACCTAGAAGAAAAGTGGAACTTGGGGCCAGTGGCCCTAGAAAAAGGATAGCCTGCCCAGAGATGCTGTCTCATTGCTTGTTCCCCCCTCCTACCTCCATCCTAGGCTGCAGAGACTAAAAGGGGGAGGGAAGAAAGGAAGCGGGGGCGGGCGGGAACTGACCGCCCCTCCTCCTCCCCCTCCCGCAGAGAAGGGCTACTCTAACAGGGAAGTCTTAAAAAGCCTCCCAGGGGGACCAGATTCTTGGAGTCCTCAAATATTCCTGGGTTTCCTCTGCCTTTTCCCTTCTTCTCTGGCTTTCCCTCTTCATTCACTTCATTCTCCACCCCACCCCGCCGCCAAGCGTTCCTCCCTCCCCCTTCCCATCACACACACACACACACACTGGCGACCAGAGAACCGCCCTCTCTCCAAACTCCCAGTTCTGGGACCAGTGTGACTGTTAATGAAAGGTGCCAATCACAGGCAGCCTTAGCCAGATGCCTGCGAGTTGAGTTAAAAAAAAAAAAAAAAAAAGGCAGGTTGAGGGCAGAGAGGAAAAGATCATAGCAACCTCCAATCCCAATACACATGCACGTAGGATTCCCAACAAGCAAACAGCAGGATAGCTCCGACTACTCCGAGGACGCAGAGCACCACAAACAGGAACTTTAAAGGGATTGAAATCTGTTGCCTGTTCCACTAGGAATATTGTTTGCAAGGCACAAGGTGTCTTTTGGTCGAGAGCACCCTCTGCGCATGCGCAGGTCCATTCGGGAATTACTGCCCTGCCGCCGACTAAGTTGCATTCCTTGAATCTTCGCCGAAAAGACAATTCTTTAATCAGAGTTAGTAATGTGGACAGTGCATAATCGAGAGAGTTTGGGGCTTCTCTCTTTCCCTGTGATGATTGCCATGGTCTGTTGTGCACACAGGTGAGCTATTTTTTTTTTTCTTCCTGAGTGTTTTTCTTGTTACATGCTTGCTGGATCATGTAGCTTGTTATTGGGGGGTAGGTGTGCCTATCTATTTTTATGTCTGCTCGCAGTTTGTGCTCATTCTGAATACGGTCCCTACTTCTTCCCTTCAGCGCCAATGAGCCCAGCAACATGTCATACGTGAAAGAGACAGTGGACAGATTGCTCAAAGGATATGACATTCGCTTGCGGCCGGACTTTGGAGGTAAAGCTTCATCTTTTTTTTCAACCTGTAACCCACACCTAGTTCTCTTTTCCTGACAAAGATAAATGTCAGGAAAAAAAAGCATGTAATTTTCGTAAGCGTGCACTATGCCCTACGCCTTGGGCACACACCACACACACACACACACACACACACACACACACGCACCCACACACACGCACACACGCACACAGGATCCCCCCAGTAGCAGGTGGATGAAACCCCAGGCAGAGCCAACCTTACCCCGGCCCGACACACCCTCTGCATAGTCACTGCATCACGCGTGTGCCCACACCTGTTTTCCCAAGCTGCCCCCCCCCAGCCCCCCGCTAGGAGGGATGGGAGTCCAGGGAGCCCATTCAGAATGTAGGAAGTGCCAAGGAAGCCCCTGTCCCCTCCCCAGTCTGTCGCCACTCTGAGAATATGCCCCTAATACGTCCCATCTCCCCGGCAGGGCCCCCCGTGGACGTCGGGATGCGGATCGATGTCGCCAGCATAGACATGGTTTCCGAAGTGAACATGGTGAGTGGTCTCAGGACGGGCTTACGGGCTTACGCAGATACGAAATGGACCGGTCCCCGCGTCCTCTGCGTTTCATTGGCGGTCATCTCGCCCCGGCCACGGGAGTCCCACTCCGCGTGCGCTCCCCGCTCTGGCACACACACACACACACACCCTGTGGCCCCTGGTTTGTATTTGGAACACACACACACACACACACACACACACACGCACACACACACGCACACACTCGGGCTACTGCGGCGTTCGGAGGAAACGTGCGCGGCACTATTTGGGGAAAGACGGGTGACTGGCAGCCGCGGATCGGGTGGGGCGGAGTCTGAGCAGGACCGAGCAGGGTTTCCTTTGGTGTTCCGATGCCGAGGGCACCATCTGCCGGCGGCAGGCGGCCTGCACTCGGGTGTTCGGACCCTGGTCCGCAGCCTCCTTTTCTCCAGGTCCGTTCCCCGCAGCCTGGAGCCGGACAGACTCAGTCCCAGCACCGAGTACACAAGCACACGGAGGAGGTTTCAGTGTCCCCTCCCTCCTTCCAGGCTCCAGCACACCCCGTGGCAGGAGCAACAGGCTGAGACAATAGTCCATGCTTGCTAACACGAAAGCGCTCAAGCCAGCTTCTGGGCAGGCTCGTGTTGTTCCCATGTGGGGGGTTGATGAATTTGCCTTGTTGCATTTTGTAAATTTAAGATGAAACAGAATGACTCGGGTTATTGCTTTGTTTTGCCCTGGAAACTTAAGCGTGCTGCAAAAGCCTGCTGATTAAAAGGATGGTGGAAGGAAGGGGGCGAGAGTTAACAGCGCAGTCCTTTCATTTCCAAGGGTTAACATTCTATTGTGTGTTTTTTTCTCCTCCCTTTCTGAAGCTATTGCAAAAATGGATTGAAATCATATCTGACAGTTTCTCTATTGGCTGGTTCCAACCACTGAGGGGTAGCAGTTTTCTAGTTGTTAGAGTTTCTAACTGTTGCTTCCGGTAAGGCAGGGGGGAAAGCCTGTTGCTTTTCTAGAACCAACCACCTAGGGAACAGCTAGATCTAGGTGAGCAACATGTCATTTTTTTCCGCTTGCGAAAAAAATATTGTGGCAGCAGAAATTTAGAGAGCCTGAATAATTTAAAGACTAAAACCTTTAGGGATTTTATCCGTTTATAGTTGTAAAGGCTATTGAATTGTCTTTTCATTTCATTACTAGTGTGTCATTCTATTTTAACATGCTAAGGTTTAAGAATTTTTAAAGATTTGGACAGGAAGGGAGAAATACGTTTATAATCTATTGAATATGATTATAATAAAAAGTATGACTATTACATTTCTGTATTTTATAGTTGTAACTTACCCAACTTTATTTTTTAAATTGATTTTTCAATTACAGTTGACATACTGTAATTATGTCATATTAGTAACATTGTGATTAGGCATTTACATATCTTAGGAAGTGCTCACCCCAATAGTAATCTACCCAGATTCAAATAGCTTATTTAAAATACTATTTCAAAATAAGTCATCTAATTATTGTATTAGAAAAAGAAAACCAATTTTTAAAAAGTAATGCACAATGAATATTTTCTGATGTGGAAAAGATTTTTAATAGACTGACTTATTTAAAACATTTTGTTCACATACGTGTCACTAAAACAAAGCAACCCAAAACACAATATTTACAAACATTGGGTAGCATAATAACATGTGTACATATGCAAATCATACTCAATCTATGCTATTGCAGCTAAACAAATTAGAAAAAAACAAGTAATTTGTATCATGTAGATAAATAATAATATTTTTATTCTTTTATTTTGGCACCTTGTAAGTACCCACATAGGTAATTTATAAAATAGAAGAGGATTAGGAGAGCTCAAAGGGAATCAATGCCTTTGCCAGTAGTCAGTATTCTGTTTGGCACATTATACTTTTTAGAATTGTAAAAAATGTATAATTCTGTTGACTATATTTACAAACACCTTTTCAGTTTTTTTTATTTGAATTGGGAAGTTTCTATTAACCCAAACAACCACCACAACAAAAAAAGCTCTGTATTGAATTTCATATATAGGCTCAGAAAAATAATTTAATTGCGGTGCCAATGGAAATAGCTCCTAATGATGGAATAATACAATCTATTTACTCACTCCGCGATGTGTATATGTACTTGCTTTAAAAAAATATTCACTGAGCAGATAAATCAATGAAAAATACCTTCTACTAAAATATGAATTACCTTTCCACAAAAGTGTTAGAGCTATATGGGAAAATAAAAAGCACTAGCACTGAAAAATAATAAAACTTGACTTGCTTATTCTTCTTTGTTTCTCCTTTTAATGATAGCTACCAACAAGACCCGAGGTTTATTTAATATTTTCTCTGACAAAACATTGAAATGAATAGATTGGAAATAACTCCAAGAAAAATGGAAAACAAAGAGGAATTTTAGGATTGAGGGTTCTGTATAAACACAGCCTGGATAGTTTATCCTGGTTAAGAGAATGGTCTATAATATGCTTTAGTTTTTAGATAATGTAAGTAGGGGGGAAATGTCTATGGGAAATAACACCATTGCTTATTTTATTAATCATGTCTTAGTAGCCCGATGGACAGTAACTTTTGAAGTTATGTAATAGGAAATGTTCACCAAAATTAATTTAAAAAATAAGAATGGACAAATAATGTAATAAAATAGCTTTAAGGAAAATTCAGACAAAAATTCATTACTAAAGCATTGCTCATTTTTATATTCTTATTCATTATTGTTGTTATCCACCCATCCATAGCTGGGAAAATGACATGATAATCATACATTACATTAATGGGTTTGAAACTAGGTTATGTTAATTTTGTTATTTTTAAATTATAGTATAATTCCATATTGGTTTATGGCATTGTTTGTTTTAAAGACTAGCATAATATCAAAAATATTTTCTGATTTATATACTCAGGATAGAAAATATTTTTCCCAAATAAAAAAGTAAAATAGACAGCTTTTACAGTCAATGATCTCTGCTATCCAGAATCATAGTTACTGAGCAGTGAATGCAAAGCCTCTGTACAATAATACTAATGCAGAAAAAAAAAAATAGATACTTAAGAGCAAGGCTTTTCTTTTCAGGAAATAATATTATTGATTGAATTAAGAAAGATTTTCTTCTGACATCATGTGATATATTGTGTATGTGCCAGTGACTATAAACCACTGTGATTTCCATTTATTGTTATATTAACCTCTCGACAATTTCTGTCAAGCCCTACACACACACACACACACACACACACACACACACACACACACACACTTTCTAGGATGATTAAAAATGAACAGGAGGCAGGCAGTTGGGACAAAAAAGAGACAGTAGCCTCCAGAAATTGTGTTAAAGTAACCACTAACATCTCCTAATATAAGCCCAGTGAAACAGATAACAATAAGCAAGTCTTCTCTTTGTAGTAGCTGTAGTAGACTGGGGAAACATGATATTAACTACATGCAAACAAGTGGGTGAACTCTTGTATTTCATATTTCAAGGACTTTTAAAGAGGTGGCTTCTTTTGAACAAGTAGGAGTTCCAACCACAGAGCACCCTGCCCCTGATCTAAAGACACCATGGCCCAAGTGACCACTCCCAGAAGACTCTACATCTATCGAGTCCTGATTTAAAGTAGCCATTCCCAGTAATAGATGTATTTATTTTCTTTCCTTCCTTCATGCATGGATAGATGCAACTGTGAATTTTCTTATATAAATTATAAATAATAAAAACAACCAAAAGGAAAAAAAACAGAACTAAAATAAGTCAACTGTATAAATAATGCCTAAAAGAAAAGCAAATATAATTCACTAAACATCAGTGTTGCTAAAGTCCACTGTTGTTGCTGTTGTTATTTTAATATTTGATTCCAGGTTTCTGTTACTCACTTCAGTTTATCTCTATTTACCATCATCTTGGTAACACAAAATAGTAACCACCTGTCAGAATCACTCCCCTCCCCACCTATTTCTTCAAATCAGTGTTTCTCTATCTTTTAAGTGTATCGGAATCACTCTGAACTTTAAAATATTAAAATGCAAATTCTAAATCAGAGGTCTGGGATGGGGTTGGACAGTGCATTTTTAACAACTCCCAGTGATGCCAGTCACTGGTATGTGGACACACTTTGAGCAGCAAAGGCTGCAGTACATTATTCTAAGATTTAGCATTATTAAGAAATGAACGTCTTTTTTTTCTGTTAAGTTTCTCTAGGAATAGTATTATTCCAAGTTTCCAAATTAAGTCTCAAGTGAATTTCCAGGTAGTTTAAACAGGTAGCTGTGTTCAAAAGGAAAATTTAGTTTAGTAATTGATGATAAGCAACAGAATAAAGGCAAGAGCCTGGATCACAGGGCTTGACTTACACTAATAAGCAGCCCTCCTCACTGTGTCAATACTTAGGAGTCAGCCAACCTTAAATGATGGCTGTGAAAATATTGCCAAGCACTGTCATTGTGACACGGCCATCCTGCTGCTTCACAGAACACCAATGACTTCTCTTCTTCAGGATAGAGAACATTGCAAACTGTTTTTGCCCCTACCGAGGCGCTTGCAATAGCTTTGTAAAATAGCCTAAACATACTCTTGCTGCTGTCAGTAAATTCTCTGAGGTTATAATAGAATTCCTTTGCAAATAGAGGAAATAGGTCAGTACCATTTAAAGGGAGGAACAGATATCAGCAGTTAAATAAAGACATAAATAAAATTTTGTCTTATATGAGTAATCGATCAGGTCTCACTTTTAGGTGCTGGGTTACAATATTCTACCATCTGGAAAAGCTGACAGAGGAAAAAATTCCCTCTGCCTCTCTGTTTGGAGAGAACATAAAGATCTTTTTATGCCTCAAGCCACTTCTAAGCAATCCTATCCAGATTTTTTAGAGTTTGAGTTCACATTTGAAAGCCTTTGTTCTTAGGATCACAAGGCCACACTGGGTATTAAAATGTGTAATACAACAGTAACATTTACTGAACATATCCTATGTAT